CTAATATTAATTAATTAAATGCAATTAATTTCAATATGGCATCTGTTGATTTAGTGCAACAATGAAGCTGCGTTTTTTTTTCTTTTCCTAAACCAGATTATTTCAAAGAACAAAAACAAACAACTTTTATGGGAAAAATATGTTTTTATCAGTAAATATTTAGGTTTAGCTCATATAATGTTTATTTATATAATATTTTCGTTTAAAGCATCATTTGTTTTCTTCTATTTGGGCCCAACTTGATTTAAATCTGCAGCTTTTGTTTTTATAACTTTCTCGATGGAATGTATTTTTGGTAACAATTTATAAAACTCGTCCTAACGTCTCCGGAGCGGACGCGGCGTCTCGCCGGGCAGGACCGGACCGACCCGCTGTGCGACCATGATGCGTGGTTCTGGGCTCTGACTCTCTGGTCCCCTTTAATAAACTGAAGGACGACAGTTTGCCTTCCTAAGATTTGGGATTAGGAGCATTTCTGCTGAAAGAGGAGTTAAGTCGGCCTGCTGCGGACGCTCCCTCCCCTGCTAAAGGCTGAGACAGAATTACAGCCTGTTGGACCGGTGTCCCGCCGTCGCCATGGAGACGGATCGACTTGGGTGTTCCAGTCCGCGCGCTGCAGCGCACGAAGCCCAAAAGGTGCGGCAGCACCCCGCGTGTTCCTCCCTGAAACACCTTCACCTGGTTCAATAAACCAATCCAAACCCCTGCTGCGTTCAGAAATGGAAAAGTCTTATTTGACAAATGAGATGATTGATTTCCAAACAGATCTGCTCGTGGTGCCCAATTATCCTATAATAGCACTAATTATAAAGAAGCATCAAGCATTATTTGTTTCCAATTGTTCTTTCTTTAATAGGCCTATTTAAATGAGTTTTAAAAAGCCTCACAGAGCTGACGCCCATGGGTGGGATGAGTTTGTGGCTTTCCGGATCCTGAGTCATCCTTTAAAAACAGAGGCCCAAACTCGCCTGGGCCAATGTCTCACTTCCTAAGATTGGTACTATTAGAGCCTATTTAAAGACATAAAAGTGGGGGGGGAGGAAAAGAAAATTATTGTTGCAACACATTTCTCTTTAAAAAGGATGAACTRAAACGCGGAATTACGCGTTTCAGAAACATTTACTTTTAAAAAGCATGCAACAGATTTGATCCAGTCGCTGTTCTGTTTGTAAAGAGATGCGCCTCCATTGTGTCTCTGCGAGGAAAAAAAAAAGAAGGTCTGACTTCTAAGTAGGCCCCTAATCAAGAAATATGCAAATTGGGGCTGAAGTAGAGGAAAAATCAGGTTAGCGGACCTCCAAAATAAAAAGAAGAGAGAAGCGCACGAACATCTTTTTTTTTTCTTTCTTGCAGTTGCTATAACAACTCATGCGCTGCTCTCTGATGGCGCAGGTCAGTGCGGCTGCAGAGGAATCTTCCTGGATGAGAGGGAGGGGGAAAATGGGCTTTTGGGTAAAGTTAGGAAATGCGCCGTGGCCTCTGCGCAGAGCAGATGGAGACCTTCCAAAACATGATGCGCCTGAGTAGGGCTTGACCAGAAAGATAACCCCTATACCCAGCACGAGAAAACATCATTATTATTA